ACCTCATTACATGGTGAAATTTAGCTGTTTCAATTCATTTAACATAAACCAACTTCCTACCTGTCATTTTTTTCATTGTATTCCAAGGTTAAGTCCGGTTAGGTTACTGTTTCTGTGGAGTGTAAGACTGAACCAACTGTACAATTTCCACTGAACTCTTTCTTTGCAGATGAATGCTACAGAAGCAGTTCTTGAGGAGGCTAGAAGAAGGTTCAAGAAGGAAATTCTTCTGAAAACCAAGGAGGTGTATCTGATTTCCCTTGAATTGTGAGTCACAGATTCTTTTGATTTATATGAACATTCAAGCATAGCTCATACTGGTGGTGAAATCTGCCAACTGTCTCTAGAAGTGTTAACAATACCACACTTTTCCCTTATAGGATTGACAACGCGTTGAAGGAGTATGAGTTTGTGGACCTGGACGAAACATTTTACGAACCCGCTGAGCTAGCTGCTGCTGCAGCTCTGGATCGTCCATTAGAGAGGTAAGAATTTTTTCAAATGCTTTGATGTCTTTATTTTATATCGGAAGGATGTATCCTGAAGTGACCAGATGCTTCACTATTGTATTGTAATGCTGAGCAAATGTTATTGTCATGGTCAGCTATCCATTAAGTTAACACTCCTATCCTATTTCAGAATTGGTGGGGATACTTCAAAGCCAGTTATGGACCATCATTTAGATGAGCAAGATTTAGCGCTAAAGGATCCTGCTCAGTTTAAAGTTAATTTTATTTCCTAGTCTTGACATCAGTAGAGGCAATTACATTATAATGTATCTCACAATTGTGCTGTTTCTTTGATTAGTTGCTTCATCAACTCCCAAAAAGCCATCAAATGATAGTGATGTTGGTCACGTCTGTAAATTGCCCAGATGTTGGGAGCATCAACCTTTCCGTGGCACGGTAATAACATCTAAAATTGCAGTTTTGCAGTTCGCTTACATATAGGCTTTATCAGCTTAAGGATCTTAACATCTTAACAAGTGCATTTTGCATTATATTCGATAGTAAGACTATGGTTTTACATTTGAATGTCTTTATATTCGCTAAAATGCCAACCATAACATTCGGGTTACAACGACCAATAGAATCATGATTCGTGGTTTCCTTGAAAGTTGTGTTAAGATCCCGCGAAACCACGGATCTCTGCTTTTCATCGAACTAAAGCGATGGCAAAGCTTTCTAACTGTTCCAGTCAGCACTTTTTACCAATTTAAACACATTCATAGCTAAAAATCATTGCCATAGTGCTAAATATAATAAAAATGCATCTGTGAATATTATGTTAAGGTGTTAAGATCCTTAAGCTGATAAAGCTAGTACATAGTGTTGCAAAGTGTCTTTCATTTTACAGGCCCGTGAAGTCAAGCACCTCTCTAAAGAAGAAAAGGCTCTGTGGAGCAAGGAGCCAGCCTATACACCTCCAGGTATATCCAATAACATTTTCTCAGGTAAAATGTAGCTAGTTAGAATCTTAAAAGTTTCACTCTTTTCCTTAATTTTAGGATATTGGAATCTTGACATGTGAGAGAAGAGCAATAGGAGAAATAAAGTAAATTAAAAAGCTGATATTTTTGCTATAACTTTTATGTCCTTTAAACACAGTACATTTCTAAACAAAACACATTTAAATTATCTGAATAAAAAGAGTTGTATTTTAGCTTTAACAGTTTGATGAAATTCAGATAAAGAAGTCAATTGAAAAGTCAATTGAAAAGTATTATTGCATCTGCACAGACGATCTGCTGATTATGGTGCTGATGTCCCATAGAAGCCTGTAGGAAACAACAAGAAACAAATTGAGTTAAACTGAATTGTAAGACCGACAAAAACTATTACTAAGAGGTGGCTTGATTAAACATGGTCATAAATTTTCAAAAAGCTATCACAGTGGCTGAAGAGTCAAAGCACGCAATCAGATATTGTTACATTTATGAGTTTGTTTCAGGCCTGCGAAACATTTAACAAACTTTTCAAATTCCTACACACAAGCTAATTTTTGAATCAATTCCGTTTTTATTTTCATAAAACAAATATACGGGTCCCATCAAAACAAACAAAATAACATTCATCATCCATGGTCCAGAAATGTTGTGTCTGGAATATGGGTAATAGGTTAATACATTGGGTAATTTTATGGATACAGGAATGAACTCAAATTTTTCTATACTATGGGAAACAAGCCTTTAAAACAGCACACCCACAAATATGACTTTACCTAGAAAACGTAGATTCATTCCTATACTAATAAAATCGTGCATGCGCAAAGTTGGTTCTTCAAGAACACCTAACAATTTTTCTGTTGAATATTATTTTATGTTATATGGCTTAGCATCCCCTTAGAATGTAAGAAAGAACTTACCCTTAAAAAAAGTAAACCACAGTGAGTCATCAGATCCAGCAGTTTCAAGGGCTCGAGTCAAAACAGAAAACACGCTTCACATCGTAGAGAACTGCTACAACACCTGCAAACAGAAATTTGAAAAATGGGACAGTAAATTGCTAAAGGAAATGGTTCGGGCTGATCAGGCTATGCTTGTTACCAGCAGAAAGCATAATGGTAAAAGCGTTCAAACCAGAACGAGATATTATAGTTTTCTCCTCCCAGCTCTGATGTGGCCTGGTCCTTGGGTGCCCAGGAGCACTAGCCTAGCACGCGACCAAAGTAGAGCTGGGAGAACAGGAGGTCGTGAAGGATCGAACGCGCGTGAAAGCTTAGATAGCTATAAGAGTAATTATAAATCTACGAAGTGAACGGTGTACTCACTTGGGGCGATCACACTGCACACACAATGTGGTGCACGGACGTGTCGCCACCTGACAGTCAATAAAATAAAGTAACCAGTGACGCCAAAGACAACGTGCCAATACTTCGGATGAAATAAAAAGACTACCTGCCCGGCTAAATCAGTTATTCGTATAAATGTTTATAAGAAAACATCTCTCAGTGTAAGTCTGAAAAGACACCAGTAAACAAAGCAGACAACGTATGAGAGAGAGAGAGGGAACATGCGTGAGGCTATACATAAACATCTATGAGAAATAATACGGTGAATGAAGTAAACTTCTCATACAATACAAATTCAACCCCTTCCCCCTCTCCTCTCCCCTCTTCTCGGGGTTCGGTGAGCATGTTGACGTACCTACCGGTTCTGCTTCTGCTTTTTGGCTCCATAGTCATTGTTCTTGCCATAGTATTCTAAACGAAATAATGTGTTTTGATCAGAAACGTGCTGATATTATTGAACTGCAATGCAGCGACCTTCATCATCTAATTCACCAAGGTTGTCAGTCAGAACTCGCAGGCTACTCAAAGGTAGGGTCTGTGGAAGCGTCGCACTTTGTGTTGGTTATGAAGTCCACCTCAAAAAACTGTATTTCTACCAGATAAGTAAAATAGACCTCGAAGAGTTAAACGGCAAAAACTATAGGCCCTTTGCAAATGATGGGAACACAATATTAGTTAATAATAATAATCATGTCAGTGGCTCCAGTGGACATTTTACTCTGAAGTCTTGATATCAGCTTGTTTTGGTTTGATATTATGCTGCTGTTGAGTGTTGTGTTCTGAGTAGTGTTTTGTCTGGTTTTGATAATGCATACCATGGCTTTTGTGGTGGTGAATGAACAAATGTTGCATTCTAATCATGTTTCTTTGACATTCGCCACTCTGTCAATATTTATGTGGACATTCGCCTCTTTGTCAAAATTTCTGTGGACATTCGCCTCTTTGTCAAAGTGTTCCTTGGACATACGCCTCTCTGTCAAAATGTTCTTGGACATACGCCCCTTTGTCAAAAGTTCCTTGGACATACGCCTCTCTGTCAAAATGTTCTTGGACATACGCCCCTTTGTCAAAATTTCTGTGGACATTCGCCTCTTTGTCAAAATTATTTGGGACATTCGCCTCTTTGTCACATTTTAGATGGACATATGCCATATTGAGCTATTAGTATATCTCAGGACCTATTGTAGATATTGATGTGCCGTTTGGTTCTGCATGTGTAACACATAATAAGGAACCATATGCCCCAAAAAACTCAATTTGACCAAATTGTGGACATACGCCCCTTTATCAAAATTTTCCTGAAATAGCAAATTTACGAGCTTTATTACAATCATTCTGACGCCATACAGGTGTCCAAATGTTGTTGATGCTTTCAAAGACTTGGACTTAACGGAAGATGTGACTGACTACAAAGAACCAGAAATTGAGAGCACAATTTCCGCTCTAGGGAATCGTACGAGGAGACACCTTTTAATCAACATTGCAGACAACTCGTAGAGAAATTTAAGGACAGTTTACAAAAAGATGGTCAACAAAAGGCTCCAGATAATGACAAGGACAAGAACCCGTTCTACTGCCCAGAATTTCTCAATGAAATATTTTTTACAAATCATTACGGTGCATTTTTACCATTATGGACGAGCCTTCTTGATCAAGTGAAATTAGGGTCTCGGCCTCAAGTGGCATCAAACGCTCCAGTAGAAGGATACTTTAGAATAAAAAAACATTATGTTCACAAGCAGAAGTCAAGAGATAAACCTGGCCGCTATGTAATGCTTAGTAAAAACTACGCAGAGGCAGCATCAAAGGAAGTCAGGCTTAAACTAAATACACGTACGAAACCATTTCAAGATGAGGAAGAAATTAATCCGGACGACCCAGCTATGAAGAAAGAAGAAAGACGCAAGGATAGCTGTGCGTCACGGGAGACTACGTCCATTGATGATACAACCATACATGTAGACAACACTGTCACGGAAACATGGGATAATAAGAAAAGACAGTTCCGCTATTCTGAGGGCAAAACGATTCAAAGAGTAAGCAACATGCTAAACTTAGGAACCGAAGTCAACGCAGGGAAGCATACTCAACTTTCCAAAAGCAGTGGACGAGAGAACAGTCGAGGGAAAGGCAAGAAAAGCCTCTCCCTTTCAAAGAAAGGAAGAGAGACAGGTAAGAGCTTGGTAGATGTTGTTGGACCAAGGGAATTGTGGATGA